CGAAGGCACATAAAAATTAAAAATGATAAGAGGGAATGGCCATTTTGCAGAGAAAGATGAATCGTCATGAGGCAGAGTTTACGACTGTCAATGGAGGGGTGCGCCATAGACTTACCTCTACGAGATGCATCCTGGGAAACGTATACTCATACGGCAAAATAGTCAATAAACCAGCAGTTGACTTCTATCTACTCCAACCCAACTGTAAGTCATATTCGACTGTTTCCCCAGTACTCACCTTGCATTATTCTCTGATTTTGTGCCTGTCTCCTTTACATCTATGAATCACTCTTCTGTTCCCCCTCTCCACTTTTTTGCGGCTTTGATGCTCCTCCATTTGTGAAGCCCGAAGTTAACTAAAGAACTAATGATATCTATCATAAAGCCTGCCATTTGATATAAATGACTGTCAATGGCTAAGTTCCTCTTACATTTGGCTCATTCCATGTAGTGTGTGTGTGTGTGTGTGTTTCTAATTGGTCGGTTATGTTGCTTTGTGGCCCACATAGTGTCATGAAGTGTTTCAAAGATCATAAAAACTGAAACTAGGCATTAACAAAGACAACAATGGCGAACCTTGAGAGCCTTCTGAGATCTCTGGCAGCAGCCCGATAGACGCGCTGTACAGACCAATAGACAAAGAGAAGAGGCAGACAAATTATAACAATGGCAGGCATGGCCAAAGAGGAGACCACAATTGAACCAATAAGACCGAAGATAATGGCTAAAAGGATATTGAAAATGAAGGGCAGACCGTCGTCGATTGTACCCACATCTGAGGAGAATCGATTAAGAATACGACCCACTGGGGTTGTGTCGAAGAATTGCATTTCACCCTAAAGTAGTTAAACTTTTGTAGGATGAGGCTGGTACATGTGTAAAATACGAATATATGAATTGAAAGTATAAAAATAACGTCAATTAACGGGTAGGTAATCGAGAAAATTAAAAGCTAGTTAAAATCGACAACGCTATCCCACATAGATGCCCAGAGAGTGCACATAAATACCCTCATAACAGATAATTAACAAGAGGCACATTATAATATAAATTTATATTTGCATCGAGGGGTGTGCGATAGACTTACCTCCACGTGGTGCACCCTGGGCAACGTATATTCATACGGCAAAAAAGTCTATGAACCGGCAGTTGACTTCTGAGTTCAAGCTATCATGACCCCACTGTGTGTCATATTCGACCACTTACGCAGTACTCACCTCACCTTTTTTCTACCTTTGTGTCTGTCTCTTTTACATCTTTAAAACACTCTTCTGTTCACCCCCCCCCCCCCCAACTATTTTCGATTTGATGTTCTTTCCCCTCTGTGAAGCCTGATGTCAATTAAAGGGCTAATGGTAACTATCATAAATCCTGCCATTTGATATAAACAAATAAATATTTGCATCGATAAAGTAAGGCAGCATTACCCGCCAATTTCAAAATATTTAAACTACATAAATTAATTGCCATATTCTTTCAATGCAGTGCTGATTTACGTTGCAATATGGTATTTCATATTTGTTTTTAATTAAAATAGATTTCATTTTCATTTTCTGGTAGTTATTCTAACAATACTCGAATCCTGGTTTAAAAAAAAGAGAGAGGAACCCTTGACTCTTCATCGTATTGTTCTAATTCGCATCAAGGAACCAGTTTGTGTGCTAAAGACACTCAAGTAAGCATAATTAATACCTTGTGTGTCAAAAGTAGCAAAACAGTTCAATGTAAAAAGTACTGATTCACTCGCCAGCAGAAATGGCATTGTCCCAAATATGCGTGACAAATCAATGCATTTACTGAGGGAAAGAGTATTCTTCGACTGCGCATAATTTAATAGAGTTAAATTTTGAGGAAATCGATTTTATTCCCCTTTCATCGTGCCAAATATTATCTTGGATTAACAGGAGACATTTTGCAGGCAAATGTCTTACCCCCTGAGAAAACAAAAAGCACTTTGAGAACTAATCGCACATCAACTGCAGTTATATATCGCCAGAAAATCAAATTTTAAAGAAGATATGAAAAGTTTCTACCACAAAATGTGACTGTTTAGGCGCGCATTCACAATTCCGAGCCTTTATTCAATGTTAAAATGCGCCTTTTATAGGTGATTGTTTCCTAAATATTGATGGTTAATACAAAGTGAAAAGCAGCATGGTGGAAAATTTTACAATTGTGATCATACCAAGAAAGAAATTACTCGATTATTAAAAAATGGTAAGTGGACTAAAAGGAAGCCACTTCTATTACAGAGCGAAATCTCCTCGGAATTAATATATGTACTCGATTTTTCATCGCTCTTCCAACTCGAGCATTACGAAACACACCACAAATCAAGGCAATAGAAATTACGGTTACCTTGGACTTTGCGTATTATTTAAAGAAGGGGCTATCTTTTGCTACGTTGCACCATTCGCCTGAAAATATGGTAAACGAGAATAGGCGTATTGATTTTACGAACCTGAAGAACAGAGTCAAGCATATTTTCGTGCATCACAGCAGCCGCTCGAAGACCAGCAAATGCAAAGAGGATGGATCGAAATATAGTGAAGAAGAGGTTGGCACCAATTATGCCACCGTAGATTGAGAGATAAAATTTTGTCACGTTGGAGATTGGCGCATCCACATAGAAACCATTGTCGGCAATTTGATTCAGTGCTCCGATGAGAGGGTAAGACTTGGCGCCGATGTATGTCATGGACGGAGTGGTGGCATTTCCCGCGTCATGTTCCATCCAGTATGATAACCAATAGTCCTGAGCGTTCCTACTTGCTGAAAATAATCAAAACATTAGACGAACACATTAGACCACAATTAAATGCTATTTAATACCTTGCATGAGCGTCAGGGAAATGAGTACCCAAGCCCCAAGACAATATCCTAGAGCACGAGCATACGCCCAGTAAACTCGGCCAGAAATTGAACCGAAAGCGAACTTCTCCAAATTCGTAAAACTAGCATCATCTGAATCTTGGTCCTCCTCAGATGAGAATGCAAGTAAAGGCATTCTATCGTCTGCATTTTCATTTTGAATCTCAAGCGTTGAATCACTTGTAACGTTGTTAATCCTAATCTCTTCTGGAAACAGGATGTCGGTTTTGGAAAGCTTTCTAGATGTTCCATTTGTAGGCGTCCATTGATCAACAATTCGGCCTTCCGAAAGTTTTATAACAAGGTCAGCAGGACCGTCGAGGTTAATATCATTCTGAGAGAACAAGAAAAATTGACGTATATTGAAAACCCACCTCATTGTAAAGCCACTTGAATTGATGTGTTGCAATGATGCGTATTTTGTCCGCCAAAACCCCTCGTCGGCCAATACATTTTTGGATAATACTCTGCGCAACATGAGAATCTAGCGAGGCAAGAGGGTCATCGAAAAGATAGACGTCTGCGCGTTGATAGACGGCTCTAGCAAGAGCCACTCTTGCTTTTTGACCACCGGACAAACGGCTTCCCCCCTCTCCAACTTCTGTATCGAAACCTTTTGGCATATCTGCCAAGTCTTCTGACAATCCACAAGCATCGATCACGGTATTTAGCCAATCTGGTTCTGAAGCCTCTCCAAATAGGATATTTTCGTGAATAGTTCCCTTTTGGAGCCAGGGTGTATAGCCGACGTATGCAATTCGAAGGTGTTCAGAAGAGAACGGTGGATATATGGTCTGAAGTTCGCCCATCAGAGATAGAAGTAATGAAGATTTGCCTGAGGCTATAGATCCAACAACCCCAACGAGCTGACCCTAAAATATACAATAAATTATACGTTAAACTTGTTAAGAAAAGTCATTAAAAGGTAAACCAGTAGTAATGACCCTACCAGTATCATATCCGAAACTCGATAACAGCAATCCATTTCTGAAATATATGAATGATTTAATCACAAAAAACCCTAGTCTAAGGAGATTTTAACTGCCTCCCTTTCTCTCTCTCCACCCTCAAATTAACATAATTTCTCTTTCTCGATCTAACTCTATGATTAATGACTATCCACTAAATCTGCACATATAACCTATGAATTCATAGTTTGTAACAACTGCAGAACGATGGTCATAATCCACTTTATGGTTAAAATTTGCAATTCTTAGTGAATAATATCCAAGAGCCTGCGTTCGGTTATCAACAAATCACTAACAACGCATAGGCCAATTAGTGAGAAAAATCGGTAGTTTGAACCACTTCAAGAAAGTTCAATAGGGAAATTGGAACGCCTCTCTTCCGATGTGTTTACTGCATTGGAGAGAAGATAAAAGAGGTCCCGTGTCTTTTATCGTGATGAAAGTGATATTGAGCGCTTACGTGAGTCATGTGATATGTCAGCTGCGTAGTGCTCAATGCTGCGCTGTCACTTCGTAATGATGGCTGTGAATGCAGTCCTGTAGAATTCGGTTTTCAATAAACTCTTCGTCTATTGGTGGAAATCGTTTAGAATGTATAACGTTTAAGTCAAAGGTTCAACACAAAGTACCTACAGAAAATGGTTGCTAAATATGGAGCCATAGGCTCAGTCACCGACTCCGTCGAAAAATATTCAAAGTGCTCACGAGAATAGTACGAAGTCAGAGAGGGGTCATAACCAGACCTCTATCCTCTCAGCAAAAAAAGCACCAACCGATCATCACACCAGAATATGTCGCAGCAGTTACAAAGCGAGCGTACGAAGTTAAGATACTGCAAATATTACAATCTAGGGTCTACGCAGAAGGCGAACGGGGAGTTGATACACAGGAATTTACAATACGATTGTGGAAATCACATCAAATGAATAGGCGAGCGTTTCCAAAACTTGTTTAGACGTGTTGCTTTTGCGAGCACTTTCAGCACTTGTTAAGGACTATTGAATGCTCATTGTGCTGGTATTCGTAGTATTCTACAGTCATTACTTTTAATTAAAAGTCAACTTGAATTTAGCTTTCTGTGCTCCCACAGGACCCATTTTACCTTGGCCATCTGGCATAATGCCGATGATATCACATTTGAGAGAGCCTGATTTAACACAAGTGAATCCTGTGACCCACCACTGATACGATATGCCTTCCTGACTTTCAGTAGAAAAGTATTCAAAATAAAGTACCGCCTTGGAATCGCTACTCCCTTATGTGAAGGCAGCAACAAAAATATAAAAACATTCAGGAAGAAGCCATGCAAAATAATACCTTAGATATTGATATGTCAATATTTAAAAGCGTAGGGTTATCTAATGACTCCCAGAAGATCGTCGGCGACTTCAGCCTGAGTACAATGTCTTCCTCGAGGTACTGCGATGGCTCTACATGCTCGTCCTCTCCATTGTAAGCCTGATTTGCCAGTTGGGGATCCACCGTGTCAATTTCAAACAGGCGGCATATTCGTCCAGCAGAAATCCAAGCCTCAACGACTCCATTGAGAACCCATGGTAGCGAGTTCATTGGACCGATGAGCATGTTGAAGAGAGCAAGGCTTGTGAACACCTAAATGAAATACAACGAAGGTAGGCCAATCTCCCAACTAATCTTTTATTTTAACTTAAACTCTATTTTCATAAGTAATTATTATGTGTGCTCGGGTAAGTAACTTTAATCAATTTCAATCTTGAGAAATCAAATGAAGATATGTAAATAGGGAATAAGGTCGTCTTTACTTCTCCACGATAACCTCGCAATAATCGACAAATTTTAAGCAAAATTCTTTGCACTTACTTAATAGTCAAAAGCTAATCCTTGCCATACGCGTCTGATTATCTATCAGTTTTACATTATGGGACACTAACTTCACCTAAATTTTATTTTTTATACTTGCATAATAAATTTCAATATTAAATAAAATTTACTCATCTGATAAGAAAAAAGTGGAAAACGTTTAAAAAATTCTATTTGTAGACTTATATATGTAAACTCAAAAAAAAATTTAGAGAAGTCGCTTGCTGGGATGTCCATACGAAAATGGAAATATATTTAAAATTAATAAAATACCATTAGATAAAAACATATTAAATTCTTTTAGGTTAGTGAACAAAGCGTCAAGAAATATCTAACTTAACAAAGAAATAGGCAATATATTTTTGGGATAATGTTCCATAATGAAGAGAATCAAAAACGCAAACTGTATATCCGACAATAATGCCCTAATATGATTTCGTAAGCAAGATCTAGTCGTCTCATTGGACTTTAACATGCAATTAATAGTGAATTATCAATAAGACTTGACTTAGGAAGACCGACGGTATCCAGAAATGGTTCCAATAAAAGAGTCATATTATGCTAGCCCTTTTATTGACCATTTCCACCATTTTATGTACTTCGATCTGCGGTGTGCGATAGACTTACCTCCATGTGGTGCACCCTGGGCAACGTATATTCATACGGCAAAAAAGTCTATAAACCGGCAGTTGACTTCTAAGTTCAAGCTATCATGACCCCACTGTGTGTCATATTCGACCACTTACACAGTACTCACCTCACCTTTTTTCTACCTTTGTGTCTGTCTCTTTTACATCTTAGAAACACACTTCTGTTCCCCTCCCTATCGACTTTTTTACTTTGATGTTCTTTCCCCTCTGTGAAGCCTGAAGTCAACTAAGGGGTTAATGATAACTATCAAAACGCCTGCCATTTGATATAAATAAATAAATAAATGTACTTCTATCTTATGAACTGTGACTCCACTGCCTCTACGCCGGATTTATAACAATTTGATTACTTTTGCAGACTCAAGAGTATTGCCAAGAGCAACGTAGGTGGCGAATGTCAATCCGGCCAGTAGAGCAGGACAAGCTGCCCAAAGAAAGACGCAAACAGCGTCCAACAACTTTTGTCCTCTTAACGCCTTTAGCTCAAATTTCCGAGCACTGAGGATTTTGCGTCGAATGAGATATTCCCAACAGGAAAGTTTGACAGCAGACATACTCCGAAGCATTTCAGATATAAACTAAACGAAATGGACGTTAAGACAGCTCTAATAAACGTACCTTAACCCGGGCATCCTTGTAAAGCATTAAATCTGACGAGAACTTCCCAATTAAACCGGTAATACCTCGGTTGATTGGTAGGAGGATAATTAAAATCCCGACTCCAACAAAACAAGAAACCCCCACTTGATAGTAAAGAAGCCAAATAGCTACCACAATTTGGACCGGCATAGCCCAGAGTTCATTAAAACTAGGAATCAAATTAGTCATTCGTTCCGCATCAGTAGTGAGAAGGTTGACCAGATTTCCAGTACCAAATTTAACCAGAAATGAGGATTTACATCTTAATAATTGTTGATAAACAGTGCATGAAACAGATGTCTTGAGCTTGTAACCAAGACGAGGAGACCAGTAATCGTAAATTGTGCCGAGAAAAATGCTTGATAAACGAGAAATAAACAAAGCTATTCCATAAATAACTGCGGATTTCCAGTTGTTTGAAAAGTCAACAAGATCAGATATGAAGTAGTTCAGAAACACAGGATTTACCAAACCAACCAAACTAAATAGAAATTTGACCAATCCAATAAGAAAAATCTCCATGCCAAATTGACCGTAAAGCTGTTTGATTAGTGGAATAGCGGATTGAAACTTGCTTGTGGTTGTTGGAAGACTTGACTCAATCATCAAAGTATTTTCGAGAGTTTGAGCACTGAGGGGTTGAGGAAGAAGAGGGAGGAACTTTGAGGAAAACAATTCCCCATAGAAACCTCGGACGATTGTTTCATTTATCCAAAAAAATAAGATCTTGCTCAGACAGTTCGCGGTGGCTTCTGAATCAACGCGGGGAACACCTCTAGAATTTTGACTTGCGGGCGGTTGACCTAGATCATTCGATTTTGAATGGCGTAGATAACGAGCTCTCTGTACTCGGTCCGGTTCGATGGCGTATATTATAGGAATTTTCGTAATCAGCCGCAAGCCGAGAATCACAGTATCTATTATCAAACTAGCTAGCATAGTCTTGATTGTAAATACTGGAACTTTGGATAAAAGTGACCATATTTGCAAGGATGAAAAATAAAAGTACAAAATGTCCAATATCAGAATAAAATTTGAACCACGGGAATTTAAGCAGTTTGCCTTACCATGTAAAATATCAAGAAGAGTTACGCAGAGTAAGCAAATAAGTGTTAGTAGAGAATTAGCAACGAAAGAAAAAGAGAACTCTGCAAAGTGACCGAATAGGGGGATAGTAAAAATAATTAAGAAGGAAGCACTTTTTGACAAAAGAATAAAATCCAAAATTATTCTCAGTAAAATTGCTTTTGTAAATGGCCATTCAAAGGCGAGCGATGGAACCAACTTCAAAACAGATATTAAGGAAACAATGGCAACAATAAGTGACAATGGAAAATGCATAGATATTTCGACCATACAAAATCCAAAATTTTGACCTTCCCAAAAATCTGAAGATAGATTTCCGCAAAACTTTTTTAAAGTGGAATTCGCAATCATAATTTAGATGCGATTAGAAACGCACTCATCAAACGCGGCTGATATAGATTGACCCTTAAGTTGTGAATTTGAATATGCAAACAAATCCAAATTCATTTGGCGTCAAGCGAAAAATAAACATATTTGCACATACCCCAAAGAATTCGTCTTAAATAAATGCAATACTTGCATGAAATAAGATAGATTCATAAATTTCTTAGTGTTATCCATTTTATGCCTGTAATGGAATAAGAATAACATTAGTTAATTCGACTATATATATTTAAATTAAAAATTCTGACAATTCTGAGATACTCATGCTAGTGAGTATATTTATAATTTTACTTAATACCGTTCCAAAGTGGTTAAAACCTGAAATTGTAAGCCTTAAGTTAGTTCCTCAGCTCCAAAATCAAAGTTGAAGTAATGCCAAAAAGAGTAATGCATGCACATTGATGTTTACCATATTTTTCGATTTGATTTTCAATTCCATTTATTCAAATCCCGAACTCTATTGCATTTAACTCCTCCTTGCTGTGTGCTGAATATTTATATCAAGTTACAGGCGTTTTGATAGTTATCATTAGCCCTTTAGTTGACTTCAG